AGACATCAACAATTGGACGGACATACATTTTTTAGAGGCACTTGATCCATAGAAAGGTTGAGATTTTACCCTCTGTCTTTCTAGCTAACTAATGCTAGTGTGCTCATGGGAACATGTAAGTATACCGTTCATGGGTCAATGTAGGTGTGAACTAGCCAATCTGTTCTTATGATGTTCTGATGTTTGTCCACATGAGAAAACGTTCATGGGGAGCATTTCTCTCACTTGTAAGTGCACATAACTCACCAGTAGAGACACTAATTAGCTTGTTCCATGTCAATTTCTGACATGAAAAGTATTATTATTATGAGTTTATTAGCAATGACAGACATTCGCCAGCTAGCCTAGGCGATGCTACTTTGCAAGAAATAATAGCCACATAAATGTGCAAGTACAGTAATTTCCCATCTAACATATATAACAGCTGCTAATGCGGTTTTATTATTTGTGGAGCATTCCATGGATGAATTGATTTGGGTCAAAAATAATAGATAACCTATATAGTTAGACTAGCTGGTGGATGTTAGTAGATAGATAGCTACAATATGGCCTTGTTAGGTTACTATGGATTGGAGGTAGCCAGCTTGCTTGATAGTAGGTGTTCTAATGCAAAAACTGAGAGCATGGCTGTTCTGAGGGCTTTCATGTCTGCTGCTGAAGGTGACCAGTGAGCTTTCCTGAGCAGGTTGGTAGCTTGCCAGCTAGCTAGAGAGATTGTAAGATAATTGATTAATTTTTCCATTTGTGGTTTAGTGTAAATGGCAGGCTTGCTAGCTCATAAGGCAGCACAAGATTGGGTGCTTGTCACATACTGGGCCATAATTGATGCTAATAAGTTAGCCAGCATAGCCAGCTAAATCAGATCTTGATTAATTTTTTAGGTCTATTTGAACCCATTCCCATATTTCCTATGCTCAGATGAGTAACAAGTCCCCTGTCAGTTTATCGCTTTAAGACGACATACTTTGAGCTGTGGCTGTAAACCAAAACATTTTTTGCTAAGTGAGCACCAATTTAAAATTTGGCACATTGATTTGTTCAATATTGTTGACTAGGCTTGTGATCTTGATTAAAGAGCACTGCCAAGCTTTCTTATTTTTTTCCCCCAAACAATAATGTATGTGCTCATTATTGACTAGTAACTAAATTACCTTTCACATCTTCAATCGCAAGTTGCAAATTAGCATATAGCATAAGAAGGATTATCACCAAAAAACCAATTACATTACATTACATCATTTAGCAAATGCTCTTACGCAGAGCGACTTCCAAATAAGTGCATCACTATGCTAAGAGCAGTTCTCGCAAAGTATTACAAGAGGTCAGTAAGATACTGAGTTAAGTGCTACACTAGTGTAGAGTGCTTTTATTACACGTGTGTGTGTGTGTGTGTGTGTGTGTGTGTGTGTGTGTGTGTGTGTGTGTGTGTGTGTGTGTGTGTGTGTGTGTGTGTGTGTGTGTATGTGTGTGAATGATTGAGGGTGTGTGAGAGAGAAACTAGACGACAAAACCCAGGATGGTTACTAGTTCCCAGCTTGGTTTTCAAATTTTGCCACTAAGAAAAACAAAGACAAAAACAATGGAAAAGATATGAACAATAACAACAATAATTAATGCAGAATAAAATAGTCAAAAAAGATATTCCAATCACACAATCCTATGGGTCTGTGGCACAAAGGAGCTGCACTGGCACTGTGCACTGAAGGCTTCTTTACTCCTCCTCCCTAAATACAGGTGTCTGACTTTCAAAAAATGTATAAATTATGTGATATGTGTACCACTCCCCTGTTTTTATTTTCTTCTGGTTTTCTTCTCATTGTCACATGTTTTTTGGGATGGACTGTAATTAACATCCCCATACACAGACAGAAGCACAGCAACATTTCATACAGTAAATCAGTGTACCAACCAGAAACCACAAACCTGAATGTACAGTATAGTCTAATATTAAGGTCCAAAATTCAAGTTGGAGGTCTATTCAGTAATTCTTTCATTCTATAAATAATGCCACTCAATCCCTGTCTTCTCACATTGATTCCTCACAAATAACTGTGTTGATGTGCCCTACAACTGTACAGTAGACTGACCAGGCTACCTGCCACTGTTTGAATGTACTTCAGGGCCTTCACAGCCCTTGCATGCTCTATACTAAGTTCACTCTTAATTTAAATCACAGCTACAAAAAATGCAGAAGCAAGACAAGTTGAAAGAAAGCCAGAAAGAAAGCCATTTGGTGGCTTTATGAGCCACAAACTTGTGGAAAGAGCTTTATAACCTGTGAGGGTGGCATCAGTGAACAATGGGCAGTACCATGTGGTTTCAAAATTGATGTCATGTCCTGGTGAAACATTGAATGATTCTTGGATTTAAAAGCTTGAATACTGTGTTAAGTTTCACTTCTCTGATTTGCCACTTGTACGGTTTGTCAGGGTTTTCCGATTTTCAAGAATTGTAATATGTGTACTGGTTTTTATGAACAACTGTTAAATGGTATTAGATACAAACTGCTTGGAGAGTGAGATAAACATAATGTATAAACACTTTTGTTTATTTTATTACTTTCCAAGAATTAATAGGAAATCCATCATTAATTCATTCATCCATCAGTCCATTGAATTTGCAGACCCCTCTTTACTACATTAAATTAACCTTAGTCAAAAGCAGTCAAGGCCATTATGCTGCAAAGTATGTGAACACAGTTGCTGCTGATGTCACTCTGTCTTTACCACTGAAAACAAGCAACATGCAATACAAAGCCTCTGGAAATGAGTTGTTGCTAGCACTCCATTCACTAGCCTCATTTCTTTGGTCCATTTTTCAATATAATTTCATCTTTCTTTTTTGTGGAGCCTCCTGGAGCAATTCAATCGCATTGAGAACAGTAGCTGTCCAGTAATTCAATACAGAATTAATCAATAAACAACTTGTTGCTACCACTCAGTTGGCTATGTTTCCTCCCTGTTTACACAGGTCAAATGTCAGCAGCTTACTTTACCAAATACAGTCTGCTATTTGCTGACTCAGCTTGGGACACTGGCCACTGGCCCTTCCATGATGGTCACTCAGGGAAACAGTATCTTTCTCAAATCATATGAAAATACATTGTATATACAGTGCAGTCAATGAAAAAGCCTCAGCATATTTTTAAAGAGGAAAATCTATATCGTGGCCATGCCTATTTTTCTTGCTTTGAACTCACCTCTCCAGATCTGTATTATAAAAAAATAATACATATACATTTAATGCACGGAACAACTGAACAACAATTGAAGTGACAAGCTATCATCAAATATATTAAAAAAATAGGAGTTAAAGTATTAAATCAGAACTATAAGAAATATGTATTTCAGAATGTGCAAAAATATATTCAGTATTACCACTTTCATGTAATTTTAGATCTACAGTAAGCAGTGTGAGGTTATATATATGATCAACAATATGCACACAAATTGCCTTGAATAACAATGATTAATGTTATTTGAAATATATGACATACAGTGCCAGTCAAGTTTGGACACACTTCATTAAGATAATGGGAAACATGCATTCAAAGACATCATGATCTAATGACATGCTTAAATGCTTGAAATTTGGTTCTTAGACAAATATAAAGAGTGAAGTTGATGCCTACATATGAATTTCTTTCCAAAAAATGTTTTTTGGCTACTAAAATGTAAGAATCTAAAATATAAGATAGTTTTGATTTGTTTATAACACTTTTTGGTTGCTGCATAATTCCATTTGTGTTATTTCAAAGTTTTGATGTCTTTACCATTGTTCTAAAATGTGGAAAATAGTAAGAATAAATAAACACATGTATGTGTGTTTCTCCTCAAAAGCTCCAGCAGGTGCAGCTGTGCGTGCTGAGTGTTTGGTCCAGTTGTTTCTGCCAGCAGAGGCAGAGTTTTCCATGGCTCCCTGTGGGTTGCTGGTTTTAGCCAGGGTCATTTGAGGTGCCATTCCAGCTGGAAGCAATTTTATTAGACTCCTAAATTTTTTTAACAGACCATTTTTGGAGTTCCCCCCTGGTGTACTGGGGATGCGGTGGCAGATGTGCCTATGGGGCAGTGCTAGTGCCGCCTCCTTGTCCCTAAGCCCAGACCACCCCCCCCGAACCCCCTGTCCAGGGTGCCTGTGCCAGATATCTGTCACCATCTGTCACCCCCAAACGCTAAGTGTGCAGCAGAAGTCAACCACCCAACAAAGTTCCTGCTGGGTTTCGTTTAAGGAGCTTAGGCTGGAGGTCGGGAGTGCTCACAGGCCACTGTCAGCCCTCATTGCAGTGCGTGATCTCACAAAGCCAGGCCTGCCCCACATCAAAACTGCTTTTAATTTGGATGAAATCACTGAGGCACAAGAAAAGGAACTGTCAGCATCACTTCACCCAGGCTATTGTTGTGGGACAAGAGGCCCTGCTCTCCAATCTCCAGTCATGAAAAAAACCCAAGCTGTGTAAGTTATTCTCTCTTTACACACAATGTGAGTAAACCACATGTGAAACCATTCTATTTTATAATTTTAACATGTAAAACAAGGACTGATATATTTGCCAAAATCATCAGCCATAGTCATAATTCTGTGAATACATAGCAGAAGATGGAGATATGGCTCAGTCTTTTAGCACAAGTACACAAGAGTGTATTTAAACGAGTCATTGACCTTAAAAATTGAGAATTTAATATAGGCTAAGAAGTGTGTTCATCTCTCCTTTTTTCTGCCAGAGAATGCAGTATTGTTGAATTTAAGCAATGTTATTTTAATCCAGTACTAAAACGAAGGTGAAAGTGTCCCACTAGCCATAAATGAATGTGAGAAAATGTGAGAGGATGGTTGCTCTGCACTATACATGCAGAGAGATTGCGAGAAGATTGGGCACATCCCTTGCAGCTCCTGAGGCACTCTTCTCTTTCATGAAATAATCATATCCCAGAGTAAATCCACAGCTCTTCAACAGAAGGTTTCTGAAGGAGAGCCGGATTATGAACTTCTCAAAAAGGGACAGCAATGTGGCATAGTGGTAAGGCGCAGGGCTTGTAACTAAAAGGTTGCTGGTTCAATTCCTTGCCAGAGCGCTGCTGTTGCACCCTCCGTTAGGCAATTTACTTAACCCATGTAGAGCTGCCCGTAGAGCTCTCACTCAAACACACCAATGACAGAAGTGCCCGAGTGGTGAAGGATGGTGTGCCATCTTACCTTTGGCGGTTCAGGAACAAAATTCATTAAATATAAGTGTTTTAATACATCTGACTCCAAATTTTGTAATTGTTAACGCATTTTGATTTAGTATCTGAATCACTCAAATGTCTCTCTGCTAATCGCTAAGACAGAATGCTTATATATGCAACCGAAGGACTGTAGCCTCTGGTCTTGTGTAGTGTTGCTCCATATGGGTTGCAGTCTTTCAGAGAGATGCAAACATGCCTGCGGCCTGAGCTCGACCTAAAATGGAACTAGTTGTATAGGTGAGGGACTACGGAGTATACCAATAGCATAATGATTCCCTAAGCTCGTAAATAGCAGTTATCTTAAAGTACAGTGATCAACTGTGGCAAGTAAGACGGACGATGAGCACCGAGTTACAATAAACAAATTTATTTGTTACAATGTATGATCATCCAAATAATGAACAGTAGGTAATGTGATGGAAAAAACAGGGTACAACGAAGAGGCAGAGAATAATGAATGGGCTATACGCAAAAGTGCGCAGCAGATCGTGTTAACGAGTCTCCCCAAACTATGCCAGTTTCCCCCCTATACACCTGAACATCAGATGTGGTATCTGGACTTTGGTGCTGTGACCAAACATGATAAGCTCTGAAACAACAGTGTAGTCACGATTCAGCAATTATAAATACTGCTAATCTTGCAATAACCAGGGAGGTACGAATGGGTGCTAGCAAGTGAGGAATGCAAAGATAAGGGCATTCCTCACTGTTTGCTTTTGTGCCACATGTTATAATCTTTATTATGAACCCATCGTACCTCCCCGTTACATACATCATTGACATGCATGTGAAATTAGCTTTCAAATGACACCAAATGTGATTATGTTGCACATGAGAATGACCATATTCAATACTTTTGCCAAGAGATGAACAGAGTCCTGAGTGTGGCTGTGCTTGCTTGGCAGCAGACAGAGTCTGGAGTCCAGGAGTGCAGCTGCCCTTAGCGTGACCTACTGACCAGAGATTAGCGGCAAGGGTTGGACTGCTGCTACCCCCCCGGTTGAGTTGTTTAATAGTCACGTTTGGTGGGTGTTGCATGGTACCTGAGGTATCCAGATAACTATTGCACCCTCCTGACCTCCTGCAAGCCCAGAGGTAAACACTTGCATTCCTTTGGGGGGTTTTGCAGGAGATGTGGACTTGTAAATTCCCCTACACCCCCAATTGTAAAATATCCAGCTGTATAAATGGATAAAATTGTAACCTATTGTATGTAAGTCACCCTGGATAAGTGTGTCTGCTAAATGACAATAATGTAGTGTAATATAATTTAAATCCTTCTGTGGGGGGCATACATAAGACTACTTCAGAGGGATCAGCAACAGTAAACAAAAAATCATTTCTATGTGCTGGCATATGTATTCTGGCTCCATGACAATGTTACACGTCTCATGGTTAGCCTAAAGTGACCACTGCAGGGGACAATGGCACTGTGTTAGGTGGCATAACAGGACATAGGATGAAGCACACTGCTGAAGGACCCCCTGCCAACCCCTTAACTTGCCATGTAAACACACCAGTGTCAAAGCCATGAGGTGGGCTAGTACATCAGGTTAGACATTTCCCAAGGTTGTGAAGTGGGTAGGGGAAGGGGATAGGAATGGGTTATCCCCCTGCAGCTTTCCAACTGAGCTTCCACAGCTGCCGCAATTACACCCCCTCCCCGCCTCTCAGCCTGGCGGTGGCCAGCAGCACAGCATTCAGGCACACAGGCCAAATGGGGGTAAATGTAATTTTTCCATTTTTCAGTTTTTTTAAACCTATACTTGAACTTAAAATGACTGATGAAACCCATCTATCTGAACAATAATGCCCTGCAAATCACACTGGAATCAAATTGTCTGTACTCCATTTGACTATTGTTTGCAATATTATTTTTAATGATTTACTTTGTCTGGCTTTGCTAGATTATGGTTAAAATCTATGGAAAATAAGTTTGGATGGATACATGAGTAACGGGTGTAGTCAGACTGCGTTGTGTTTAGTTAGATGTTACGGGGGTCTGTCAGTACTCTGGCCCCCTAGCTGTTGTGTTTATGTTCTCCCTGTCTGTCATTGTGTCCATGTGCTATTGTTTTTCCTTGTGTTCCAGCCCTGCCTCCGCTCTCCGCCCTGTCTCCGCCCACCTGATCATCTCCACCTGCCTGCCTGCACACCTGCTTCCCATCACCTCATCAGCCCAACCCTATATCTACCCTGCTTGTCTCTGTCTTGTTTGCCAGATCGTTGCAGTGTTTTTCCTATTTTGTTCCCGCTGTGCTTTTCCCCCTGTAGAGTCTTGCCGTTGTTCTTCCTGCCTGTTCCTTGACCTTGATTCTGCTCGCCGCCTTGCTCTGTTTGCCTGATTATCTGCCTGCCTGGTTACCAACCCTGCCTGTTCCTGTTTTTGACCCTGGTTTGCCCACGGACTGCCTGCCTGTTACCGACACTGCCTGTTCTGGTTTTGCTACTTCGCCTGACGTCTTTATTAAAGCTTTTTTGGAACCTGAAGCCCTGCTGTCCGCGCTTGAGTCCTTGCCTGAGCCCTGACAGGGGTCAGCGAACGAGCGAGTTTCGAACCGAGATTCTCACTGCTCGCTGCCAACCCCTTACGGCCAGCGTCGTTGCCAGTTGAGCTAAAGGTAAATTGCCCCTATCCTGTCGGCAACAACGCTAGTTAACCAGGGAGTGACGTAACCGCTGCTACCGCTCGGCTACTGCTACCTAAGGCTTTTACGCAGGGCTCACATGAGCTACTGCTTCAGCTCTGCTACACATGCAGAGATATGCAGAGAGTAAGCACACTGAAAGGACTTACAGTACAGACCCTGCGGACATTAATATTACTGCAGTGAAGATCAGGCTCCAGCAGCACTATGGACCAACATCTATTTAAATTAGGGCAAATTTGGCAATGGAGCTTTTCTCTTCCTGTGAAATGGCGATCCTCGCATCTGGCAAGCATGCATTTATTGCCGTTTCCCCCACCAACATTAGCTCATTAAGCTGAGATTTAGATGTTCAGCCTTTCCTACCCACATACACTTGCATACATATCCAGGCATTCCATAGATGAGAATTCTTCATACACCACAGAATCAACCCTCAATTTCTTGCTCTTTCTCTGTATAAGTTATCAATTATAAACATACGGCAATCCCATTAAATTACAGATAAAAAGGAAAAACACACCACTGCTTGATGTTGTCACAATGTAGCTTTCCTGTAATAATTTCATAAATTAAAAGGCAATTTTATAGTTCCCAAAAAGAAAAGGTTTTTTTAATCTTATTTGTTGTATTCCCATATGAAAAAATATATAGAGAATATATTTTAGAGAATATACATTTTTAGCTCAAAAAATGTATTTAAAATATTGGCATTTTTGAATAATGCAATATATTTATGATCCCCATTAATGCATTTTAATTGTATTTGCAATATATTCTTAGGCTGAACAACATATTTCTCAATATATTGTAATACATTTTATTTCCTTATGGGTTGTTTGAGTGACCCAGTCAGGGGGAGCTTGAAGAAAGTTTATTTTATCCGGTGTGTTTGCTGTCTCACTCATCCTGTAATTAAACACAGTTGCAAGCTGAACAAAACTACACAGTGGTCAATCTGGTTTGATTTGTCCTTTAACTTGGATTTAATTTCAGACAGGGAGACCATGAGTTTGTTGCAGTCACACTGCAGGTGTCCACCTCACCCTAGAATGCATGCAGCAGAAGGAAAACATTGCTTTCCTGATTTCTCCAGTTCACATTGTTTAAGCCTTACTTAGAACAGCAACAACTACAACTGTCAAACATGTTTGTGAATGGCCACTCTTTAATTATATGTTAAAACATTTAGGTAACTCCTGTAATATAAACCAAGGGCAAAATTGACAGTTGCAGCATTTTTGCCTGTCAAATGTCTAAACAAATCAGATAATCAACCCTACTGCATATGTTCAATTAGTAAAATCAGGGTAATAAATTTACAGTACAATGTATTTGTATTTTCAGCAGCCTATTCAAATTAACTTATGAAGGGTTGAATTGGAGAGACAATCTGAATGCAAATTGTAACAAAGCTAGTTTTAAAACACAAAACCTGCCCCAGACAATGTTCCTGAAGGCTAGTGTTTCCAGTGCTGACTACGACATGACTCCATTGACAGATCTTGCACATAACAATATGTTATGTCTGTCCCCCCTCCCATATCTTATGTCCATCCATGCTTATGTTGTGACTGCATAGCAGTGAAAAGCACAGAAAGAAAAGTAAATGTCTTCAATTATAAATATTGAGTGTCTGCAGACTGATATTTAAATTTATTGACAGTATGAACAAACCATGAGCAAAAAGACAGTGATTAATAATGGCAAAAACATACACAACTGCACACCTGCTCTGTCTTCTCCCAGGAATCATAGGCTTATATTTTCTTGCATGGATTTATTGAGTTAGGACATCTGCTTCCAAGTGAGCGCTGACAAATGATATCCTTGCTTAGGTTGGTTAAATCTCAATCGATGTGAAAAATACAATAACTATAAACAAATTAAAAAAGACACTACAACAGTGCTAGGGTGACCAGACGTCCTAATTTGTCCCATATTCGTACCATATTTCAATGGGTTTTCTGACTGCAGTTGCCATTATTGTAGGTTCTCATTGCATTATGCACACGGCCCCGTCTGCTCCTGCACAATGAAGGCACAAAGTACATGGACATCTTATCAGCACCAGTCACATCATATCATACAAAAATCAATCCTATCCCTGCACCCCCAAGCGTGCCTGCACAGCACGCACTCCCGATTGAAATGTTACAAGATGGCTGATTGCTGCTATAGTTCGAGGGATGGCTAAGGG